GTCTTCATGTCTAGTGTTGTCCATGCCAACCTCAGCATTTAGGTCTCCCATCAGAATCGTCAAATCGTTTGATTAGCATCTGTTGACCACTGACTGCAGCCTTTCATAGAATTGATCTTAACCGTCATCATTGTAGTCATTTGTAGGTGCTTTGCATTGGATGACGTTCATTGTAGTGCTCTCTTTCTTTGTTTTGAAGTATGCTTTAATGATCCATGAAATTCTTATCTTATCATTGTTTTTTGAGCTCGTTTGGACAGCATCAGTGCGACTCCTTAGGTGTGTGAGTCATTTCTTCATGTCCAGAGTATAACAGCAGTTCTCCTGAAGCTAGTATCAGTTGTCCAACCTCCAGATTGTATCTTTTCATTTCCGCAGCAACTTGGAATAGTCTTCCAGTCTCCCACAATGTTCGAACGTTCCATGTACCTAAACAAATGGTTGCTCTGGTTGTCAGAAGGGGCATTGGCATTGTGATTTCAGAAGGAACTCGGCTTCCATCATGAGACGTCATAACTCTTTTGAATGAAGACCTTCTGATTCCCAGGGCAGAGTTAAAATTATTTGAATTATTTTTTCTGGTTAGAGTTTTTTTAGAGAGTTAATTTTTTTGCTGGGATGTGGTCGCCAACCCCAACCCTCCTCCTTCATCCGAGCTTGGGAACAGCAGTAGCTTAATGAAAATAATAAAACATATATAATGGATACTCATTTTTTTCGTATCAATTCCTTAAAATCTATCAATAATAATCTTTTACGGACACTACATAAAAATCTAACAACTGATTATAGTGAAAAATTCAATATATTTTTAAGGTTATTACAGAAATAAAGAAACATTTCATTAATTAGCACCCATTGACAGAGTATTCAAATTACTAGATGTTAGAATATATCAATTAAAGCTGAATTTGCTTGTTACAAAAAAAAATGCTGGTAATCATCAACTGGTGTTATGTGTTCGAATTTGTAAATCGATTAAATCATTTATCTAAATATATGACATAAATAATTTTATATTCAGCTCAATATAATGATAAACAACTTAAATACCAAATAATGAATAAATTTAAATTTAATTATTGTTAAATACAATACAATACAATATCATACTTCAATCAATAATTTCCTTAAAAGTTCACAAAATCAAAATTCGATGACTTTTGATCTCACTGTGTACTACTTTACACACATTTGAACATTTGATTCATATTACAGGAAAAAAAAACAATTAATAAATATCATCTGAAATAGATTAACTAAATATAATTTTTTTTCTCTTATTTCATTGAAGGTGATTTTATCATAAAATAAACAAATAACTGAAAGTTGAACGAGTTATCTATCAATACTTGTCATAATTTGTACATATTAAAATGATGAATGTTGAAGTCATATACAAACATTCGGAGATATTGATATTGACTTAATTGTCCAGAATTACTTTTAAATAACTAATGAAATAAATTATGCCTGTTAAAATTGATTTTCTCTAAGAGCTCATATTCAACAAACAGACAGACATATGTAAATAAGCGATATGGAAACTTTCAGACAGATATGAATCCATCCAAACTGTTACACCTCATATCAATATAACAAGCGGAAATTAGAAAAAACAAAGGACAAGAGAAGGAAGAATTGTGATTGAGAAGGGCATCATAGCATTTGAAGAAAGTAACAACAAAGAATGAAAAATGTAAACACTAATGTGCTGAAAAATTGATGACTGATAAAGAATGAATGGAGTTGTGTTATTATGACAAATTTATAAGGGCTTCTTAAAAATACGCACAGACGTATTGATTCGAGGAATTTCGGATTATTAAAAGAAATATTGAATCAAAACTCCAAGGACATTCTCACCTAGTTAATTCGTGATAAAGAGAGGACATCATTCGGTACCAACACTGTAATAAATCTCATTTCATCTCTGAGTCCGAAGCTAAGTGAAAATGATTTCAATTCACTTACTAGATTATTCATGAAATTTGTAAACTGTGCATTCTATAATTGTGGACATATATGGCTAATACTGCGTTTCATCAAACGATGATAAGACATATGACAATTCCTCTTTGATTATCATTAATTCTACATTCACAATACTACTTATTATAAGGCTAAATTAATTACGAGTTCACTCGAGACATTCATTTGATTACAATTAATAATACGACTTACCCGATCACTTAAGCAGTTCCCAACGAAAGATACTCAAGACTCCAACCGATTAAACCGCTTTAATTATCCTTCATTTGCTAATTACTTTTATAGTAAGACTTTATTACTTCACACTCCCTAATAATAATCTCTCCAAATATGTGAAAAGGTACATAGCAATCACGAATTTCGCTACTGAAAAGCAATCATAACAAAGTTAATGAAATCATTAATTTAGAACTTGTACTTCATTATTCTATTCCATTTTGTCTTTGCAAATGTGAAGCGATAAATCAATCAAGGACTAAAACAACAAGTAATTATGATCTTAGTTTGAGATAACTTAAGTGAGAGCTTACAACCAACTAAGGTCCTGAGAACACGACTGTGATTCGAATAAGGGTACTGGATAGTCACATCATATCGGATAGTCTTGACGCAATGATCAATCATATATTCTGGACAAATATATTGATAAAAAAGTCTAAATCTCAAAAATATAATTTTTAGTATTCGACTTCAAGCCTGTAGGCAGTACTTAAATTTGGATTCAGAAAAATTTTATTTGTAGGCTGGAAATGTTGTTTCATTTGTTATCTACTTCTGAGATAGAAATACTACGTCACACAACCATTCGCGCATACATGTTTATAAAATTATTTAAAGCCTACTTATCCCCCTTGCTGATGTATTTCCGAGTAATGCAAAGTAAGTTAGTTAATTTGAAATATCAACCAAATATTTTGAGTATGCAATGATCATCTAAATGATTCAAGTTCCCATATTTTTTTCGAGAGAGCTTCACTTCAGATTGGTATAAGAATGGAAAAATAGTAGGTTAGACCATAAGTTAAAAAGTTAATCGCTAGTTTCTAGGCCTTTCAAAAAAATATTAGAGCTTTACAGTCAACTGCAGTAAAGACATGAACTGTTGGAATTCAATGAGCCATAATGTATGATGCTAGAATGTCACTAAAGATTTAGTCAATTTGTTGACGTTAAATTAAACGATACAATAATTATTCATCTGATACAGAAAGCCAACATGACATAGGACAACAAACCACCGGCAAATAATATTATTATGCATGAAACAATAGTCTATTCAATATTACAAGTCAAGATTAGTTGAAAATTATATATTTATTTTATTAATATCTATAACATCGGAAATGAGTACTTTGGATTGATAAAAATCACCTTGATTTCCTTATCACCAGTTGTTTGACATTAGAGAGATCGAATTCCATCAATAGAACAACAAAACACAATCAATAAAAAGTATTCAAATCATTTTTTTATTTAAGGTTTAATTTTTATGTGAATATATAATTAATTATGAATACGATAACAAGAATTTTGATAATGATTTATAAAGAGAAACAATTAGGAAACAGAGAAGATCCATGCATGCATACACACATGAAGAATAAATGAGCATTACAAATTTAGGACTTTAAGAAACTAATCATCGTGATATTTCATAAAATAAGAATAATAATATAAATGGGTATATAGATGAAATGTGCGAAAAATAACTGTGTTTATGTTGGAAACTCACAAATTATAATATCTCGGGATCAAATTAATAAACTGAAGAACCCAGTAAACCGGGTGAAAAAATTCACGAGTTCAATATATACTAATGATAATACTAAAAATAGCAACTGAGGACAATCGAAAAAACTTGTTAAAACAAACCGTAAACAGAGCATCAACGAACAATTGATCGTATATATATATATATATATATATATATATATATATATAAGAGACTCTCAATAAGAATGAAAAACAAGATTTTCTTTTCTCAAGCACAAATGTTTCGAATAAAATTGTAGACAAAGTGTGCGTCTGAAATGAGGAGATGAGCAACAATGATTGAAAAAAAAAAAGAAAACATGAGAGAAACAACCATATTAAACAGGAGATTATGAGGAACAAAAGCAACAATGAAAACCAAAAAAAAAGGGAGAACAATAGTCAAAACTAAGGGAGGAGGACGAGGAGGAGGAAACAAACAAAGTATATAAATAAATAATTTGGAATAGTAAAACACCAACAGTTTACAAATATGACCTAGGAGCGCCCGAATAATAGAGACTATGGACACACATTCGTGATAACGCTCACGAATATTTAATAATATTATAACAACAAGAGTAGTAGTATTACTTACACTAGTTGTAATAAAGAAAAATATGTATTTTTTTGTCTTATAATTTTATTTTTATATATATGCATAGTAAATCAACTGATATAAAAATAGCTCAGTAGCATGACTGAAACAGATGAAAAATCCGTCGAAAAAACAAGATCAAAATGAAAGAAACCACGAATGTGATTGGTGTTAATCAATTAATAAAGGAATAAATAGGCAGTGACGGCTAAAAATAAAAATTGGCTTAAATTTATTAGTATAAAAAACCAAACAATAAAAACAACTGGTTATTGCACATAAATGAGAAATTTTGACAGATAATTAATTATTCAAGGTAGATTTTTAATAATATATATATATATATATATATATATATATATTGAAAAATTTTTTTCATTAATATCTTAGGGGTAAATAGAAAAAATAAAGTTTTAAAATAAAAAAGCTACACATTTGGAGAAATTGGTCTTTTACACACTAAGCATAGGTAGATTAGATATATATATATATATTTTTATGTATATATATATATATATATATGCATGTAAAAAGTAAACACTAACAAAAACAGCTGTTCATATAAGTTGTTGATATAAATAAAATAAAATGTAAACAAAATTAGAAAAGTAAGTAAATAAGAGAAATGAACAAAATAAAAAAAAGATATTATTATTATTATTGTTATTATTATTATTACTATCAAGCGTAATAATACGAAAGAGCTAACCAAACCAAAACGACAAAAAAACACAAGTGAATAAGGTACTTTTTAAAGGTGTAAACAAATAAATTTCAGAAAGAAAGAATCACAATTCAACCACAAAAAAAAAAACATGAAGCGAGCTAAAATGAAAGAAATTTATCTACAGACATTAGAAGAAATGACAAAGTGAATTTCTGAAGAGCCGAGGGATTTTTATTTTTTTAGAAAACTAGACTAAGAATGAATCACAGTTTTTTCTTAAAATTAAAAAAAAAAAACCAACAACAACAATCTTATCTTGTTCTCAAAAACCCCAACAAGAGAGTAAACAAATGGGATAAAAATATATAAATGTAGGAAAAGAAAACATTACCATCCAAGCTAAACCAGCAGATGAAAAGAATGAGTAATTTAATGATGTTAATGATAATGATAATGATGATGATGATGATGATGATGATGATGAAAAATGATAACACAATAATAATGTTAGCAAAGTTATGCAATTCGCATGTCTTTTTTTTCTCAATGACACTTAAAATTGGATTATTTTGTGTTATGAAAATGAATGCTTAGTAGATAAATTGATAGATAGAGAGTAACAACAAGTCATTAGCATTTGGTAAATGACAAATCACAGACTAGGAAATGGCAACAAGAAAGCAGACTGATATTTTAAGGAAAGAAATTTTCTTTTTGGAAACATCAACTTAAACAGACTTTATCTAAAAATGTTTTAACTCATTGATCGCTAATTTTATTATTAAATGAATTTCTCTTTGTCAAGGATATTGATTGATTGATTACAAAGGTGGCTATTTGATAGCTTGACATAGAAAGAGGACTTAAACCGGCAATACATCTCTCTAAGAGAAATACTAGGAAAAAAATACAGAATAAAGAATGCATTCAATGAATGAAATAAAGACAAGAGAATATCAAATGTTGAAGACCATAACAGTCAGAGGTTGAGATCAGAAGAAACATTTTCAATTTTCATGAAATAAGCATGCTGAAAGTTATAACAAGCTGATAAAAAGAATAACACGCTTGCATGAATCTACCATCGATACAGTGCAGGACGAGGACGTTCAGCTCCTTCTTTGACTAGAGGTTTATGGTATTCACGACCATAACGACTATGTATCTGTACCCAACATTGTTCACAATAATATTGAAGGCAAGTAACATTAGCGCAAAAGAATGGAGCAAATTTACCTCCACAACGAGTACCTTGACATTCATCACACATTTGATTATCCAAAACATATGGTTTAACTTCAACCTAAAACAAAAGTATAACACAGTAAGAAAAAAACAGATAATTTGAGGAAGTTTCATGCGCTTGAATATAAATTACCTGAAAGTTTTAAAAGCTGCTTAAGCAATTCAAAATATATTGTCAACAAAATATTATTGGTCAAGTTACTCTTAGTTATTATTCATACAAGTCATAATTTAGCTGTCATGGTTACGTGTCACATTGGGGTAGTGACTTATCAAATGTAGAATGAGACCCAAGCATCTCTGTCAATAGCAATTTATCGCTTGGTCGATTAAGTAACCCTGTTGTCTATCATTCAGTATCTTCGAAATTGCTGAATCGAGGTTTCCATTATACACGAACTACGATACTTTTAGTTGAATCATTCTGACAGCTGTTTCTTTAAATCAAAAACAGTTTAGAACCGTTATATATATATATATATATATATATATACCAATCAGATAACGCTATTCAGAGTGACTGTCTAAAAGAAGTGACTTTAACCGATATGAAATAATCTATTGTTTCGAATAAACATTGAATATAGTCAGCAGAAAGGAAGCAACCGAAATAAACAGCCATGCAACAAAATAAGATTATTCAAAATCAACCACGAATAAATGTGAACAAATAAAAATATATATAAACAACTTTAAACCTTAGATGTCTAACATGATGGAGCATTAGTCAACGATTAGCTAGATTTATGATCAGTGTGTGAAATAGAGGGAAACAGAAATCAGTTGCTTTGCATTAAAAAAAAAATAGAATCATAACTTTCACCTACACGCATACATTTTTCCCCACTTAGATGGATTATTTTAACCCATCCTAATTTTCTTACAAAAAAAAAGAAAAACACCCGAAAAAAGATATTTACATAGAAAAACAACAGAAGAAAAAACCTAATAGAAAGTAGGGCTACGTCAGTATTCCACATAAAACACCCACGCATTGTCTTATCAAATATTCTTGCCAAGCATACATCTATTTATAAATGCTGGTAATATTCAAGGCAGAGAAATCAATCGGATTGGATAACCGTAAAAAGTAGGAATGGAACTAGACAGTAGGAAATTTTCAATCAATAGAAACAGTCTGACAGCTGTAGGAGGGAGAGGAAACGCTGTTGTATACTACAGCAACAAAAAAAAGAAATACCGGACAAGGACTAACATAGAGTTAACTATTTATAAAATGAATGTTAGAGTGAATCATTGCCAATCAATAGATGTTATTTTTGCGAATATACTTATCAAGTTGTTTAAATAAATAGAAACAACGATAGTTATATAAAATTATTCACAATATTCTTCAAACAGTAAATACAAGCACAGATGATGGCAATCACAGGAATAAGATCAAATTCGACAAGTTCGAATTAAGACAAGACTGAAACTCGATTATTTCTTCTTCTCATTAAGAATCTGTACTGAATGCTAGAATGCTGTTGACGTATTGCTCCATAACTGAGTAAAAATCAGTGATTCTTACATTACCTAAGAAAGGTTGTGGTTAATTACTTGTCCGATGCCATTTCGGCTTTATAAGTGACCAAAGAAGATAATTATCGAGCATCATTTAGTGACCCTACAATTCGGAAGGTAAAACAGCCTATCACAAGCCAGTAGCTGAAAAGCTAGTATGACAAAGTACGATAATATTTTTGACGACACTTTCTCTAAGGAATCAGTGACTACTTAGTTTTTGGTGGGCAAGTAGTTGTAACGAAATGTCTGTGGGATAAGGTCTCGCATCAATCCCATATCAGATAATCAAGCGTGAAGTGAATCAGTTCATCGTCATATGTGCTTATCTGGTACATATGAACAAACAAATCACAGAATTTGTTAAAACATTTTATCCTTGTCGACACCAGTCAAACACAAAAAAAGAATAGATCCGGTAGTTAGGTCAAATCCAGATAAAAACTATGGATATGATATCACAATGACCATAATAGCTTAATAACTGATATCATATCTTTTACTAGTGAATATCTAAGAGTAACCACAAGTCGTTTCTCTGAAGCCATAGCTTCTTTAATTATTGGCGAAAATCTGCCAACACAGATCGCTAGCAACCATCGTAACGGATTGCGGTTTACACCGGAGTCAATAGCTGTACTATCTGCAGTCAGATGGATAGATTGAAGGGCTTTTCAATATCCTCAAGCGCGGAGAAGGATAAGTAAAAGGGAGTGGAAATTGTAAGTTTACGGGTTTTTTTTATAGGTGTACCACATCTCGTTTAATGACGCACTTCCCAACAGACTATAACCAGAGGAAGCCTTATGAATTAACAACAAAAATGGGATATCATGCTACATACATAATTTCATAAACCTACTCGTTTATCAATTTCATTGTGCTGTAATTGCACAAATCGTGCACTAATTGCAGCGATATAGCTTTGTTGATTTGAGAAGGCGACACGACCAGCACCTTTAGGATATTTTAATTCTGGGTCCGTATCGATTCCAGCATAACAAACGCCGCCATATAAACGATCCATTATTAGGGCAAGTTCGACTATTTTAGAAAAAAAATTAGAGCAAAACTTTTAGATAAAAGAAAAACATCCATTGAGTCAAGAAACAAAAATGTATTTATACAAAGAGGCTACTTCCTGTTGACTTTGATCCGAAATTTGATTGCACTTCTCTCTTTGTTAGTATGACAAACCAATGTTATGACTGAAGAGTTAGATCTTGTAATAAGAATTCTAGTTAGAAAATGGGTTCTAACCACGATTTGCTGATAAAATTTAACGGTAAAAACCTCCCAGAGAATCCGAAGTTCCAGTCTATGAATTTAAACTTCGAAGACGACACACCCTTTGATATTTTGAAGAGAAAGATCTTGAGTATTCTCAAAAGAGCACACTGCAGCAATCCTGAGATTTTTCTCTAGTAGACTTTAAGTTAATGACAACTCAAGGAGCAATGATCGAATTTGATCTATTTCAACGTGTATCTATTGTTTGATGTAATCCTATGGATTAAGTTGAAATGCTCATTCACTGAACACTTTATTTAAGAAAGTTTAGAAACAGTACCCCTGTTCACTATACAAGGGCAACATTGGTTAGTCTAATCTTTTTTTACCATGGACCTGGCCTGTATGTTTTAACCATTTAAATTCTTATTGTTCTATTGATTTCTGCTTTACTTCGTTAGTTTTACAAATCATCCCCCGTCTATTACATGGTTGAAGTCTCAATGAAAACCGATATACCGTTCTTTTGGCGTTCTTCTCGAATATAATTCCTCTTTGCAATTTATATTACAACATTAAGCAACCAGATATCGTAATTCTCCATCTAATTTTCATGACAATTTCAACTCACCTTTGATCTAAAATCTCTTAATCAGTCAGTCAGATGATAATAATCACTGATTTTATTTTCCATTAATCGTTATCGAAAAAGCACAAATACACGCAATATCACAGCTTTATTTATTTACATATTTGCCCTGTGTTATTATTTTCTAGGTTTGACTAGAAACAAAATTTTATGTAAGAAAAGTAGTTGCACCAGATAACTTGATCCTATCTGTGTTGCGTATGCCGAACCACCAACTGCCTCGACGAACTTTGTTTTGTAGTGTAGGAGTAGGTTGGAAGAAAGTTAGGGGCGACCAGACCAAAACATGGCAGAAATCCATGAAGTCATTGACGAGCGGACTGAGCCATGTCGGTAATTGTCGACTACCTGGTTGGGGTCCGCGAGATGATAATAATCGATGGTTAGAGACCTTAAATGACATGGCTCAAAATCGTTCGCAATGGCGCCGGTGCATTTATTCTTTGTGTTCTCTCAAATCCTAATCTTCTGGATTCTTCAACACCTCTAGTTTTGACTCTCTAAACTTTTCTCACTGAACCATACTTTTTGAATAGTATCTTCTAACCCTAACCTCTCTTACTTCTAATTCCCTTACTACCTCTACTACTATTGGATTTGAATTGACAATTATATCTCTGTGCTGATGTGGTATGGCAACATGAACTGATGTACTTACGTACGATGTTCTACCTTGCATCTGACAGACTGATCCTATCTAAAGATAAATGTATTGCTGTTTTAGTTTGGAGTTAAGGATAAATACAACTGATAAGTGGTTTTCCAAACCTGATTTGATTAATGATGTAAAATTCTAGCATATGAAACAATGTTTATTTCAGCAACATTACAACTCATTTTTTTGATGAGTTGTATATATACGCTTACATATATATTCAGCGATATATATATATATATATATATATATACATGAAAAATTTTCTTTCATTCCGCTTAGCTCATCTTCATACGGTCAGTTGAATAGAAACAATAATGACAACTAAATACATATCATATAAAAATTAATGACTAAGCTTCTTGTTTGAAAAAAATACAGCGAAAAAAAAATGTTTTAAGGCCAAAGAGAAAAAAAGGAGAAAAAGTAAACTTCTGTCTATAAAAGTAAGGTCATTTTCAGGTCATGCCAAAAATAGGAAGGAATTTAAAACTGTTCACACAAGAAAAAATAAATGACAAAAAAAAAGCATCCACTGGGCAGAGAGAGAGAGAATCATGTAGGCTGAGACAGAAACGAACACATACTCATTTATATGCTAGATTATTGATAAGAATAAAAAAGTTGCAATAAAGACTGAATGCAGTTGGATGGATGGAAAATCGATATTGTTTTCATAAATCGCAAGAAAAGGAGTTTTTCTTTCCTTACTTTTTTTTCACCTTAATGTTAATAAATCTAGGTCAAATAACCAACATATTCTATATTTATAAGTTTCTTGAAGTTTAAAAATTATTTGTTAACTATATTTCCAACTTGAAAAAAACTAATATGAAATTGTAAGAAATTGAAAGATTTTATTCATTAGTCGAATAAATCATTTTAAAGGGAAAGGTTACAGTATCTTTAGTTGTATAACAATTGTTATATTATCAACGATGTTAAACTATTTAAACGCTTCTTGTCAAAGAAAAGCATACAAACGGATTAGACAGTAAGAAGGCTACGAGATGATATGTGCATTAATCTTATCCCTTTAGTAAAATGCTACTCGCTTGAGGTAACATATTTGTGCTACCTCAATTCTCATCGCCTAAATACCGTTTGGAGTCCTCAGAGGTATTATTTATAGTTACCTACTCCGTAAATAAGAAAGTAATTGGCGTTTTCTGAGCGAAAAATATTCTTCGCATAAAGAAACAGATAAATGTCATAACGAAATATATGCAGGACATGAGATTATGTAGTGACACTGTTTAGCAAATCACATAAATTAAAAACTCAGTTTCAAAGTATAAAATTGTACACTCAGATTTCAGCCTTGTCTACTAAAACTGATGTAAATGGAGAACAGTTAGAACATGCCTTTTATATGACTGACCTTTTACTAATAGATTCTTACATCGGTTTCATATTGAATTCAAAATATATGCGTTTGGCTTTTTATACAGCTATGATTCATTACAATGTGTAGTTCGACTAACGCATAAAAATATTTGATACAGATATGAAAATTCTTAAACAATTGAACAAGATACTAAAAATGTTAGTTTGACAATGTGTACACACTGTGTGTACAAAAAGATAGACTGATTGGTAAATAAAAACAATGAATTTTATTAATTCAATACTCTATTCAATACCAGAGTCACTTTGACAAAGAACAGGGAAGGAAACAATAAACAAAATTATTTTCATAGTTGACCTTGTGGAGAAATTTGTGCAATTTGAAGATTGATTATTATATCGTGAGTTCATAGTAGCTAGATAATTGATGAAAATTAACTATAATCGTCCTGTTTCATCATAGTCCGCTTCAGTTGAAGGTAATTATTTAGTGATGAAAACTGGATTACTAGTTGAAGATAACCTTTTTACAACTCTAATAGAGAATACGAACTTTTATGGATGGAGTATATTATAGAAATTACATAGATTAAAGTAACATGCGCTAGATAAACAGTTGAAACAATCTAGAAATCATATTTTCCAAAGTATAATGATAATAATAAAAATATCTCTCATACTTTGATAAGGTCATATGTTAACTTATTGGTTAACTTACTAGCTCTAAGTGGACGTGGAACACCTCCAACGAAGATTGTTTTGCGAGGATCTAATGGTTGTGAACCATCCATAACAAAATCAGAGTCCGCTAAGTTCCACGGTCGAATTTGAACCTTAAAAAAATTTTAAAACAAAAAGCAATGAGAGCAATGGACAGAAAATTAATTATACATATACTGAAGTCGAATCTAAGTTACACTCGAATTAAAATTCGACACTGACTGAACTTTGCCTAAAATAATGAAGTTAACTAATTGACAATATGAAGCACTAGAAGCCAGGGTTAGATATAAAGTCGAGTGGTCAGAAATGAAGGTGCTGAAAACAAAAAAAGTTGAGTTTTTAATGAGCCGGCAAAATAACATGATTTAACAGACACCTTTGATAACTATGTTGGAAAATAAATGTTGATATTGTACTACCGGGAACACCAACTAAAGTTAAATTACCACTATAATCACTAATTTAAAAAAATTATATGTTCTGACAGATAATCAATACGAAATTCAATTGAGCAATATAGGTTAATCCATATTGGATCCTTTGCATTAATACTGCAAGATAAAATTTCACGACCACACTTATAAACCCTTTTCTAACAATTGGAAATGTTAGTTGAAATGAAATGGAATAACTTAAGTATAAAATGATGTGTCTTGATATACGTTACATCTTTATCAGTCATTACACTATAGACAATAAAGGATCTATGGGATAAGTATTACAAATATATGGACAAACCAAGACCAGATTTCAACTGATAAACAATTAAGAAAAATGCAACTGACGATGAATTAGTCGGACGATCAGTAAGCAGTTACGACTCTAGTAATCAACCAATACATTCTTGAATCAAGCTATCGACGGCCTTTGAAAATAAGACGTTTGCAAAGTGACTGGAGCGTTTGATCATTATCGACTTCGAAACACTGCTCGAAGATAGAGGAACAACCAAGTGGCCAACATTCGCAGCGTAGTAATCACGAAATCGATTCACGTAGCTATGAGCCTTTTCCGACAGGAGGTTAAGATATGTATCACCGCTACTTACCTTGACATCTGATGTTGCTTGATATAGTAATAGGAGAAAAACTAGGGGCAGCCACAACAGTGTACAAAATAAATCCGTAAAGTAATAACTGTTAGTACGAACACAATTAAGGTCATACTTTTTGGCTGAAGTACGCACAGTACTAGTGAATAATGGATGAAAAACAACATAATTATATTGATATATTTGCGTTCTTCCCTATTTGATTATAGATATAGTGTCATTTCTAACTCTCCAATCTTCAGTCTTGTTTTATCTAACTATATTCCCATTATGTTTCGATTTTACCTCAGTTGGGAGTAAGTCACCCACTTCTTATATCGTTATTTTCCTTTATCGTTATTCTGAGGTGAGTTGTGATAACTTGAACCGATACGTAATGGTTCCAGGTTTTATGTCAGTGAAAAACATTTGATACTACACTTTTTAGAATAATTTTATTGGGAGATGTATAACCGCAATATGGCATGAAGTAGTTTAACTATTCGGCCTTAGGAATAGAAACCAATCAGTTAAACACTGCAGCACGTAAAGATTATCAGTTGGACATCGGAAAGAGCATTCTGCGAATAATGTAGTTCAGTCAAGAATAATCAATTAAATGTCAGAGAGAAGCGAAAAGGTCGGTTATGATAATACAAAACGCAATTGATATTTTAGTCAAGGAAAACCATAGATATACTTTTATTTTCACACTAAGACCAAGTCTATTGTACAATATACTAAGTACACTGATTCTTTTGGTGATTGATGAAAATAACAAATAATTTTACGTAACACATAAAAATAAACATAAGACGAACATTTCTATGATCTAGAGAATATATACCTCCTTGAGAACTTACAGGTTTATCTTTCATAGTAGGTGATGATACACACCAATAGTATTTTCCTTCGTCAACAATACAAGCATTAATAAGACTTTGAACAGATCGTTCATCTTGGAATAACAGGAAACAATAGCCTAAACAAACACAGAAATTTAGAATAAGGAGGTTATCTGTGGAAGTAGCGCTAAAATATGATTAATGAGTAGTCGCTTTATGGACTACGAATAAAAATTCCGTAAACAGTAAAGGTTGATTGACGAAGCTATGGAGATCAATAAGGCTGAAGTTGAAGTTTTACACCATGCACCAAAAATTGTGAAAGTTGAATTCGTTAACTAGTGAGAGAAAAGTCGATAACTAATGTAAATTAGTGAAATCACGCTGGGGCAATGAAGAATCCCAACTATGTTCATTGTCACTTGATTAGAAAGACTAAATGTGTAGCTATAAGGTAGTAATTATAATTTGCTTTATTTTCTTGAAATCATATTGGATCGAAATTTTACCAGGCATTAAGATAAAGCCAAATAAAAACGACGTAAAAACTTGAAGTTCATGATAATTATGAGTCCCTAATTAATTAATGACAAACTGATTCCATAGGGACCATTATTCTCAAACTTTAACTGAATAAGGTTTATTTCCAATGAATGAAAAAAGGAGGAGGTACAACTTACCTTTTGGTGGGAAATATGCTTTACTCTCAGTCTTATGAGGCCAGTCAACTATTAAAGGACCAAATCGACGAAAAGCAGTGGTTATTTCCTCTACAAAAGTCAAAAAATGTTCTCATTAATTAAGAGCGCACCCAGGTATTTATGACAACAGTCAAAGTAGAGATAACTATGTAGGACTGAAAGGAAAATACCAGAGCTAATTTTAAAAATATCAATGTGTAAAATTACTTGCTGACTATCAGGAATCAACTTATAGCAATAGAAACACTACAATCAATCTACTATTGTAAGCTTTATTCCCTAACTTTATAAACAACTGATTACCAGATAATCTTAGTTTTGAAACTTTATAGAAATTGTGATTTATCCACTACGTAAACGGTTGAGAAATTAAGGTAGTAATTGTTTTAAATCGCATGATGATGGTATATTGACCTGACTGATGAGTTTTTGACTCTATTTTAGTTCTTCTTTTACATTAGAGATAATGCCTGCCAACATATACAAGTGTATGTAACTTTACGGGTTATTTAGTCGAATTAATTTCTAAGTCTCACCAACTTCATATAGATATCGTATTATAAATAGGGCCTAATGTATAGCGCTAAGGATAGCTTACATACAATGGTGAAATCACACATTTTTAAAGTAAATCATTTTGATACTGCGGATTAACTTGGCGGAGTTTGGTGGTCGAATCTAGTGAGGTGTTCGTGAGTACTTATGTTAAACGTTTTCGAGGAGCTACTATACTGCAGCCAGTGATTAGTTACATATTCCTTCAAAAATACACAAACTTATCAATTAAACAGATGTCGAAATGCTAAGCTCCGACTGACCTCTATACAGGTCATTAAAATGGACGAGTTTCCCAACAATAAACTTGTAAGTCGTATTTTAGCATACTAACTTCGTCTAACCAGGGTTACAATTCTTGAAAAAGGACAAACACACAAAACAGTTAAATCTACAATCATTAGTATCAACGGTCCAGAATTAGAAATTTTAGTTTTTTGGAACCTCAACGTGCACTTAACTTTCATATTATCAATTTGGCACAAAATAAAAATCTTTCGAAACAGTTACAATGCAGAAGGTGCGTACAACAAAAGCATATGGTGCTTGTTTTAAATCCTGACAGCATTAATTCCTACAAATCACCAAATAGATGAAGCCACACTTTTCCGTCCGAAAATACTAATGTTCTGCACAAATCCAAGGATATAACGAGTGAAGAACAATAACAACTATAACAGCAGCATTAAGTAAACAGGTCGGCTAAGCATCATGGTGTTGATGATAACATTTTTTCGAATGCCAAATCTCAAAAAAAGTTTAATATACACATATCCTAGAATTAATGGTTAAGCTAAGCTTTTACACTAAAAATCACAAAGTAACTATCAAAATTTTATTCTTAGTTTTTCATTATTTGAACCAAGCCGTAACACGTACCTTCATCTATATCGGGTGGGAGACCTCCAACGAATACTTTGCGTGAAAATCCTTCTTCACGAGTGAAAATATTTGCGAACATTGAGTATGGACTTGTCATTCCAACCGAACCCATCATTGAGCCTCCGCTGTAGCCAGAAAGACTATTAAAACTCGAACTTTGGTTATTTGAACCATTTATAATAGGTGTTGAGTTGTGTATTGACGATGAGCCCAAAACAGGTATTTGGTTTGCAGGATTTAAACCAGATATTTGTTGGTCTACCTCTCCGAAACCAGATGACAACGTCATATCATCAATACCTCCCATAGATGTACTAGTGGCATTCGAAGAAAAATTAGAACCTCCAATGCTAGTTATTTCAAAAGACTTGATGACTTCCATAAGTTGTTGATCTAACCCGTACTTGAAATTATCTAGCGAACTTTCTGACGTTGGAGTATTAAATGACAAGTTATTTGTGAAAGAGTCCCCAGAACACATAACCATTGAACTACTAGCAGACGATGAGGACCCAACATTGTTTAGTGACTGGATAATATTGTTACTGAAACCTCCAGTGCTGTTATTTACACCAGAATCTTCACAACCATTTGGGAGAGCTGAGAGAGTGGAATTTACTCCAGTTAAACCACCACGGATGCCATTTAATTGAATATTATTTGTGACCATGTTCATAAGACTCTTTCCTAAGGGTACTTGTTGTGAATTTTGGTGATGTTGTTGCTGTTGCTGCCAATGTGCCATCATTCGGTGTTGGGGGCGCTTAGGAAACATACTATATATATTTGAAAGACCTGTCTCGTTTGCTTTGTTACTGGTAATGCTGACGCCCGTTGTAGATGCTGATCCAAGACAGACAGACACAGCCGTTCGATTTAAATAACCGTTAGTAATTCCATTACCAAAACCCATACTTCCTACCATACCAGGAATATTCTGGGTGCTGGGCTTCTGAAGCGTTTGGTGAACTGACGAATTTTGAGACCACGAAATAGTACTACTTTCATTTCCACAGAAATCAGAAACCGTCGGAGGATTTGAATCAGTGGCAAGATTATTACCCGACTTGGCAGAAACGCTTGTACTACTGCTGCTCCATGCATTGGTAACCATGTACCCAAGTGTAGAGTTTGACAATCCACTAGAACTAGTTGGCCACATACCCCCCTTATTAATTGCAGGATAGCGTACCGTTTGGTGAGCTCCTGTGATTGGGCGCTTGGCCGCAACAGCCGCAGTGATAGTGTTGCTATGAACGGTGGGGAAGATGTTACTACAGTGAGAGTCATTCAAAACGCCGTCTTGATCTATTTCTGTGTTAGACATAAGAGACGTGATTGCTTCCCCGACAAATGAAAAATTATGGTCAGTAGAAGCAACCCCTGCACAACTTCGATGATTCCATGCATTATTTGGTATTCCGAACTCGGTTGAAGCTTCCAGATTGTCCGACTCAGCTTCAATACACTTTGTGTCACTTTTTTGGCTGATCCCTGTAAGTATATCGGTTGTAACACCAGATTCTAATGCTGCTCTCATTAAACGATAATCATTATTGAGATTGTTAGCACGTAAGCAATTAGCATCTGTCAGGTGATCAACAAGAGAAGTCAGATTGTGTGTTTTGTTTATTTTGTTTCGATATTCTGATTCGCATAACTGTCCATCAGGACGACCACAAGTGAGTTTTCCAAAATCAATACTTGACGCGGATGAGATTTTATCCAAATGTTCTGAGTTTGATTTCATCAGAGACAAAAAGTGATTTTTGTTCAGATCTTCAGAGTTAGTTACACCAGAACTGGTCAATTGTGATCCAAGAGATAGTGAGTTACTAACTTCAGTTAAAGGTGTAGATACTTGACACCCCTGGCAGGACACTGGTGCTAAATTAATGCCAGAGCTATTCGGGGGATTGCGGTCACGATCTTTTCGAGCATTCTCAAAGGCTTCAGGTGCAGTGCTATTTCCAATGGCTATATCAGAAAGACGTTCCATATCGGAGCGTACGACTTCCGTCATTCGGGGAATGGCCGTACTGTGCACTGAAAGATCTGAGGAAGTGAGATGGTCTGTGCCTTGGAGAACTGGTCTACATGATGGTGACTTTAAAAAGTTTTTCTGAACGGTAGAACTTCTTACCACCTCGATTTCCCCATTCATCTAAGGGAAATAAAAATTTAGTTGCCCAATTTAATAACTTTAATAATAATGACACTAAAAATATAACAATATAAATAAATTCTCGATAGATTAAAAACTAAGAAGTCAAGAATTACCGCTGCTGGCACGTATCCAAAGTCTTAGCTGTAGGGCAGGTAACGAATTGTCCCTAGCGATGGTGCACTTAAAGAATTGATGTCCAAAGACCAATAGATGTGAAGCTAATGAGAAAATTTTCTTATTTTGTAATTTTTGAAACTTTAGTACCCATAAGAATTGAAAACTACAGATCTATTTTTAGGTGACTCCAATCCTTCAAGTTGCTTAACTTTGAAAGGTACAAAAAGAATATAACTTATGTTTCCTTGACTTCTTTGTCTTAATACTTTGTGCTAAGTTCCCTTATAAGCGGGCTAGTTTTTCTACACAGCTCCTTATGAAGCAGTGGCAAATGAATGCAATTAACCATACTGTCCATCCATCCACCTGAAGGAGTTTTGACAATCGTTATCAGTTACTTTTGTCCGGAGAAACTGAAATGGCTGTATGTATAAAGTCTAGAATACACCACAACTGAGGATAATTACTTTGCATTTTTGTGTTATCTTTTTCCTATCGGTTTATTTCTATGATCCTTATCTTCTTTTATCATGAATCACCACTTCTTGGTTCCATGTATCCTACAAGACTTTCAATCTAATTCTCAAACTAAGTTTTAAATTAAAGCACGCTGCAGATAAGATGTACACTGTTCTCTTATTTTCCTAGCCATGGAAAGTAAGAGAATAATGAATTTCTAACATGGGTTCATACCGGTGGCTAAATCAAACCTGAATTACCTATAATCACGGAGAAACACCCGCTTACCGATAAAAGGACAGTTACAACCGTCTGGTATGTGGAGGTAAAATACCTATGAAGACTGTGGGCTTTGTATACAAGTGCATCCAGAAAATTTACAATAACTGATCAAGTAAGATAGATGTTCGATATATTGGTGGGTAAATCCGTTCACAAGGTCTCAGGCCTTTCGGTGGAGTGATTATAGTGTGCTTCTTGCTCACTTATCAGCAAGACCAAACATTGAAGGGGCTCATTGATGCTCATTGTTTTAAAATATATATTTTATGTATATACTTCATGTTTTCATTTGGAGTGTTTATGCTTATTAGTAAACGCAACCTTCCTGGACATATTTGTATGGTAACTTCAGTTGCGATCTTTGTTTTCTGTTTTTTAAAATAACCGTTAATCAAGTAGATTTTCTGAACTTTTCAGACGAACGTAGTTCGATTTAATCATGGTTCGTGAGCTGTGCGTTCTAACCTAGTATCGGAACTTTTGCTGTGACTGTATATCTGTGCAACCACAGACACTAGGTTTGAGCTACACGAGATAATTCAGCATCACAAGTTGCGTTCCTCAGGGAAATGAGGGATAGTATGCATAAAATCCAAACTATTTACTGGATGCATGAAATCGTCTGGCTGTAGTCCATGTCCAGGCAGCGCAAAATACATAATGGATACATACTCAGTGATGCACACTGAGTTCCCAAAACTCACATCAATATATATTCATTTATGTTTCATATCCATAACAGCGTGTAGAAGTGGTTTCAGAGGCTCATTTTGTTAAAAATCTACTTCTTATTGACGATTTCCATAATTTATCCTCATTGGGACAATCATTCTTATTGACGGTAAATTTGCTGTTTAAAATTACCCGGAGATCGGTAGTTGTTTCATCCTCAACTTTTGTACCAAACTAAATACTTTATTCCCATTAATCGACTGCCGACCGATAATATCTTTTACGTAAGAGCTATCTACATTCATGGATCACATGGATCACATTCATGGATCTCTTTATTCCATTTTTCTTGGTATATAAATTCCAGGATTATTCTGATACGGGCATAAGTTGTTAATATTAGGCTAATTCTTATATTTGTGGATTACAAGAATAAAGCATTGAAAGCCATCCCTTTAACAATTTAAGCAACAGCCCACATTATTTTTGGGTTTGAATTTGTCTAGTTGTGTGTCATTCATCGTCCCTATATTACCTTATAAAGTGACTTTATCACCCTCCCGATGCGCCACAATTATTTCATTTACTATTACTATTGCAGTGTTACCATTCTGACCATTAACGGTATTCCCATTTTATGTATACTTTTATTGAATATGGAAGTTGATATTGGTACTATTAAAGCTTCGATTCACCCCAAATACCAAAATCAGAGCTAACAACAGTTAATGCCGTTTCTGTGTTCAGACTCCTTTCTTAAGAGCTGAACAACATGCGGATCTGGTTAGCACAGATGGAAGCTTTGTTCTCGAGACGGGAAATGAAATTCCAGATATCCAGATACGCACACATATTAGTCGCACTACCGATGAACATCACCGCATTTATACAACAATGTTGTATGGTTCTGCCTCACTTTCTCTCCTATATACCCTAACTTCATGTTAGTTATACTGAAATAATGGTAGTTATACACGATGTACATTTTTCTATGCTAATTTACAAAGTTGACGTAAAAATCTAATCTTTTGACCTTCAGTTCTGGAGATTGCACCAATCAGATTAAGATCTACGTTGAAGTTAAAACGGCTAAGCTAAATGATATAAAAGACCAAAGTCGTACTGAAACATCAAGAACCTAGGGCAAAGACATCAAAATGATTTATGCAAGCACATTCGAAATCGACATGTTCCCATCGAAATCTCACTATTTAGAGAAAACAGTCTAGTTTTCGACAACAGGTCCGGACATATAAACATTACCGAACATATAAACACTTAATATCAATTATATTGCTGCTCACCGCCAGTTAAAACCAGCGACTCTGCATTTGAATGTAGCTTCAGCTTTGCCCGTGTTAGTTATTTTATAACTAATTGTAGTTATGCCACAACTAACCAATCAGATTGTGGTTTAAGCGCCCACCACGTGATCTGACCTGACGTGTCTGTAGACCTTCTTTGTTGTAAATGACCTACAAATTGATTGACATTATTATCTTATTATATTGATGTGACTCATTACTGTACTCATTTCCATAAGACACGCTATATTGGTCGGTACGTTTGCTCGTCTTACTTGATAAATGTAATTTCCTTATATATTGTACTAGTCTAATTGTTTTTATGTTAAGAAACAGATAAAGTTTAAAGCGAAGTTGATCTTCTTTTAACTATAGCTTACCCATAGACTCTGTGCTCGCCAATATCGCGTTTATAGTTCCATAAGTTAATCTGTAGGACAAATTAAATCCTACAGCCTGCGCTCACCATCAATGCGACGCTGCAGCACCTGGACACTACTATGGGTTTGTGCTCGGTCACCACTTTCTGTGGTGCAGGATCATTTTGCCCACAGTAAATAATCAATGCGAGAAGAAACAAAAAGCCGCGAAGTCATATGCCTCACCTAAAAATAACCTACCTTGGGAAGATACAACATGGAGGTGCTCAGTATCATTGAAACTCATTGGACACAGGTAGGACATCTGAGACTGGCTTCAAAGGATCTGCTGTAAAACTCTGGTTATGAAGACGGAAATGCTTCACATACACAAGGAGTTGCACTGATGCTGTCCAAACAAGCACAAAAAGTCACTGATAGGATGGGAATCTCATGGACACAGGTTCATCAAAGCATCCTTCAAAACAAAGAAAGAGGACATTACAATGAACATCATCCAATGTTATGCACCTACCAACAACTACAATGACGACGATAAGGATCAACTCTACGAAAGGCTGCAGTCAATCGTCAAGAAATGCTCACCAAAGGATTTGACCATTCTGATGGAAGACCTAAATACCAAGGTTGGCATGGACAACACTGGATATGAAGACATCATGGGACGACATGGACTGGGAGAAATGAACGAAAACGGTGAGAGATTTGCAATCCTATGTTTCTTCAAAAAACTGGTCATCGGCGGCACAATATTCCGACTCAAACGCATCACAAAGCTACATGGATTTCACAGGATCACAATACTCAGAACCAAATCGACCATATCCGTATCAACAAAGCGTTCAGACAGACGGTGCAGGGTGTGAGAACCAAGAGAGGAGCTGACATAGCCTCAGATCACCACTTGCTGGTGAAACGGAATGAACTGAAACTCTAAAACACTGAACAACGGGGCAGAAAACATCACACAAGTTTAATACGGCCTTCACAGACGCCCAACAGACTGGATTTCGTAAGGATCTATCGTGTACTGACCAAACTGCTACATTACGGATCATTGTGGAACAATCAATTGAATGGAACTCACCACTCTACATCAACTTCATCGACTACGAGAAAGCATTTGACAGCGTGGATAGGAAAACACTGTGGAGGCTTCTTCGACACTACGGTGTGCCTGAGAAAATAGTCAACATCATACGGAATTCTTATGATGGATTCAACTGCAAAATAGTGCACGGAGGTCAGCTGACAGACTCTTTTGAGGTGAAGACCGGTGTCAGGCAAGGTTGCTTACTCTCACCCTTTCTCTTTCTCCTGGTCATCGACTGGATTATGAAGACGTCAACATCTGGAAGGAAGCACGGTATCAACTGGACATTTAGGACGCAGCTGGACGATCTGGACTTCGCAGATGACCTGGCTCTTCTATCGCACACGCAACAACAAATGCAAGAGAGGACGACCAGTGTAACAGCAGCCTCTGCAACAGAAGGTTTCAACAATTATAAAGGAAAAAGCTAAATTCTCCAATGCAACACAACATGCACCAATGAAGTCACTCTTGAAGGAGATGCCTTGGAAGACGTTAACACCTTCACATATCTGGGCAGCATCATCGACAATCAAGGTAGATACGATGCAGATGTGAGGGCGCGGATTGGCAAAGCGAGGGCTGCATTTCTACAGTTGAAAAATATCTGGAACTCCAAACAACTTTCAACCAAAACCGATATCAGGATTTTCAAAACAAATGTCAAGACAATTCTACTGTATGGAGCGGAAACTTGGAAAATTACGAAAGCCATCATCCAGAAGATACAAGTGTTTATTAACAGTTGTCTACGCAAAATACCTTGGATTCGTTGGCCAGACACCATCAGCAACAACGAACTGTGGGAGAGAACAAACCAGATTCCAGTGGAGGAGGAAACCAGGAAGAAGCGATGGAAGTGGATAGGACACACACTACGAAAAGCACCTAACTGCGTCACAAGACAAGCCCTCAACTGGAACCCTCGAGGTGAAAGGAAAAGAGGAAGGCCAAGGAACACACTACGTCCAGAAATAGAGAAAGATATGAGAGTAATGAATAAACATTGGACAGAACTGGAAAGGGAATCCCGGAACGGAGTTGGTTGGAGAAATGCTTGAATAGGGCAGTACCATAGCCAAACTATGCTATTTGTTAAAGTGTCAAACTGTCACTTGGGGGAAACCTCCTCGACTAAGGGTAATCTTAGACTCGGTAAGGTTGCCAAAGATATCCTACAAACTTCTAAGAGATTCCGTTAAACTGTCTTCTCCGATCCCAGTCAGGCAAGACGCCAGAAACTTCCAAGAACAAACCAGCATGGTTGTTAACGGAGACAGTGAAGTGTTTAGTGGCAGCTTCGATGAAGCTCACGCACATGATGTGCATTAGTGGTGGTGGCCATCATGCAACATCGGCCATCATACGATCATGGCAACTAACGTCCTTGGAGTTCGTTGTCCGTCACACCTCAAGACGAATAAATCTTTGCGCCTAATGGCTATGAACTTCAGAAATCCGGAAGATTTAACCGAGGTCCACCTGCTAAGATGCACCACATGATTTGAAATACCAGCGAGTACCTTTTCAGCAATGTGAGAGGACTAAGGAGTAAGCTGTTAACCATCAGAAATATGTGGTATTGGATGGATCTGAAGATCATAATCCTAAGTTAGACATGGCTATCTCCCAACATTGCAGACGACAGAGTAAGCCTGCAAGGCATTAAACTCTTCCCACGCGATGGGGCTCCTCAGACAGGAGGTGGAGTCTCTATGTATATTAATATCCATTTGAAAGCCGAAAGGCTACACCGTACCAAGCTAGCCAATGTGATAGAATCATGCTGGTTTTACGTCAACGCGAACGGCACAAAATACTTGGTTGGAGGGAGTTGCCGGTGCCCCTGAAGTACTGAGGCTGAAAATGAATGACTGAGGCAATGCTGCAACTAACACTCCTTTCGTTTGGTCAAATACTCTTAGCTGGAGATTTCAATACCCCATCTTTAAATCTCAGCAATCAAATTATATCTCCAACTGGTTGGTTCCGAAGACAACTTGGTACAGCCACTAGAAGCTCTGGGCTGACTGAACGCGTATGCTGTGCCACTCGGCGGAGTAAGGAAGGGAAGTCCCCACCTGGATTATCTGTTAACTAATGACCAGCTCCTGGCTGAGGATGTTCACGTTCGCGCACCATTAGGAAGTGGTGACCATGGCACAGTCTTGTGTAACTCAGTTCTGAAATTTTATTCATATTATTATTTTAATTTTATCCTTATTACCCCTATTACTCTCCACATTGCAACTAACTGATCTCCGGTTTGGCAATGTGACGGCTCCTAGTATCCAGAAACCCTACTGCCCTGAAACAGACGTTTTCATTCAAAATCCCGAGACGCACAAACTCACAACCATCTGCCAACTGACTAGAATTAGACAGTCGAGTGGCTAGACCTCCATCCATTGGACATTGCCGAATACCTGAAACCGTACTGAAAGAACAAGAATCGAGGGCAAAGAAATCAAATTGGCTTACACCTGCTCGTGAAAAATATATTGGATATTGGAGGCGCTAAATCTGATTGCAGTGGCAACTATTTTACTGTTGAATGATTCCAAACATTTTCTGTCAGTTTTTAAACTATAATTTAAGTTTTTCACAGTTGTAATTTTCTACCTGACTATTATACAATCCCCGTACGACTAATGACCACTACTAATTACACTATCAACCAACTTTTGGGAGGAGTTGATCATTTTTAGGGAAGCTCCTGAAGTAAGATTTGTGGAAGTGCGGCGGAAAATCGCAATATTTCCCTTGATATAGGGTTTTTCTACAAGATTGCTACTAACGTTGAAGAAGTCTCAAAAAATATTGGGCATGATCAAGAATTTCCGCAGTGTGGTTTCACTTATGATTTTCTGCTTCGTAAATGGGAGTAAACGTTACAGGTGTTTTGTCTATACTAAGACTAACTACATACTTTTAATTAAACCAGTTACCGAGTTCTGAAATTCAGCGAAACTGTCCGGGCAGAAATCAAGTTAAGATACATTTACAACCCATTTTAATGTTGATTACCGCGGTAGATATCGGTTGAATACACTTAGTGTGAGTAAAAATATTTGGCTTATAAGTGTGGATTCCGACAACTTCAGCCGTATTCTGAAGATAAACTCGTAAACTACCGTGTAAATTTGATAGTCGATGAATGACTAAATCTACATCCCAGTTTTTTAATGTTTTTTCCACTAATCGATCGAGGAAAATTTCTTAATCTCCCTTAAGTCTTTTGCTTGAGTAGATTGGATGGTGTTCTGCAGTAAGTTCATATGAGAGTGGGTTAAACATTATTTTAAATTTGTTCATACTCATTTCAAACATTCTGTAATCTTTCAAGTTCTCACATGATTTCAATGCTCGTTACTTGGTACTGACAACTGTTAAAAAACTGTCATGAGAATATATTTTTATACTCTTATTGTATATTATGTTATCTGAAGACCGCTTGATCACTTGTTCGGTCGATTCTTATAGTTACCCCGCTAATTCAACTACCATATCCTGTCCGCCTATCACTCAGTTAATCATCTTACACTTTCCAAAATCATTTGTAGGAACACGAATCCATATGAGGTTACGACAGTCGGTTTTACTTTATACACATATATAGAACCATGATTAAGAACTAATTGAAAATATTTCTACAATCAAAAGTTATATCGGTGTGTCGGTGACTCCAAAATATTGAGTACAAACCGACCTGAATTTTTATAGCTTTTGTAGTTAGATATCAGTATATAACATGGTGTAACATATGAAATAGAGAAATAAAAAATGTCATATTTCTACAGGTTCCAAAAATAGTGACGAACAACCTGATATACAATCGGTAGTCATATGACGTAGATGGAAATCCCACTAGCTCAAAGCTAGCTGTGTAAATACGCTCTCTCATTTTATCTACCCCCTGACGCTAACATCAGATGCTCAAAAGCCACTGCGGATGATAAAGACCACTAAAACACTGCATACTACGAGCAAACATGTCGAATGTTTGACAAACAGTATTTTTTTAAGTATTCTTCCTTAATGTTTGTCAGTTACCTGTCAAGAGATTAAATAATTGAATACCCGGTCTACTACATGCCTAAATGTGGGTTAGTTTCGTTTTTTGGTGACTAATTATTCCTTATTTTCTCTTGTTACAGGAAAAATTTCGTGTGATATGAAGTATCAATAAAACTCAATGATAATATAACCAATCATTTTCAGTCTCTTCGTTTAACCTTTATCTATCTGCTGTTACATATAAGTAAGTTAACGGATTTCAAATTGTCATTTTAATTCAAAGGAATCAACATTGTTTGTTACATATTGAACTAATTATCACTAAATCTCTAAAGTTTCGTTAATGGAGTTTCCTCATCTAGGAGCAAACTGTTCGGTGCCAACTTGTCGAATGCTTGGTACATACGAATTTCTAAGCTATACTCCTCTAGATTTTTTACCCGTTCGATGTTCAGGATGTCATGGTGTTTTCTGCAAGGATCACTATTTGTATGATAGTCACAACTGTAAAAGTCCTGAACTCAAGGATAAACAGGTCCCGGTGTGTCCACTTTGCGGAACCATAGTCCCTCTAAAACCAGGCGAGCTTCCAGATGTAAAAGTTGGAAATCACATTGATACAGCATGCCGTTCAAAGCCGGCTCTAGAGTTAAAAGGAAAGGTTAGTAGTCTCTGTTTATTTATTATGATAATTGAAATACTAGCCTTCTTACGCCTATTACTTCTAGTAGACATAGACCACCAACCAACATTCTCCAACCTACTCTGCCTGCACCTTCCTTTCCAGTCATACTCAATTGCTGTTTATTCTTTTGATGTCTGCTTCCAATTCTCGGCGTAATGTGTTTTTTTGGTCTTCCCCTTTTTCTTTGGCATTGAGGATTCTCAATCAAGGCTTGCCTTGCCCGACCTTAGCTGCTACCTTGACGTGGTGGTCGGGTTTGCTTATCGTAATGACCCAACCAAGCCCTGGCCGGAACATATGTTCCTGAAGGCTCTACCATGCCAGGCAGGTCGATTGGAGAACGATGAGACTAAAAGCAGCTACCCAAGGTCTGAGGGCGATCATACTGCTGACTGCAGAGGAGTGTGACAGTAGTAAGGTGTTTCCCTCGGACAACCAGCATCTGCAGCGATGCTGCCTTTTCGCAAGGAAGCAAGAGTTAGAAAAGGTCGACCCTAAAAATGTCACACCTCACCTTACCTCACGGATTTCCTTCTCCTTGGGTAAGGGTGTCCACTGAGGACTTTTAAGAGCGGAGCTAATACTCAAAAAACCTTTCATAAAAAGGCTGAGTGACCGGCCTCAAGCAGTTGTCCATTTGGCTCTGCGGTCACGCTCCCAGGTCTCCAAGACCAAAACTAACCTACCTCCCTTTTCAGGTCCCTCAAGAAACATCTTTTCACGGTGTGGGCAGCCGGAAAGTGACAACCGCCCTCATACCCGTGACAGCACACGAGTCAAAATCAACTCCTTCCTACACCCCCTAATATATATCTTATCTCCACGACTAACTCTACACACATTCCTTTGTCTCACTGTACCGCTAATCAAACGATTCGAGTTCACGAAAAGTTATTCCTGGTCTCCTGAAACCCCGTTCTAGATTACATGTTGGAGCTTTTAATGTACGGACATTGTGTCAAATAGGGCAACAGACTTCGTTAGCTAGGACATTAGAATTTCGTGCCATCGATGTGTGCTGCGTCTCGGAAACGCGCATGCAGGATCCTAGTAAAGTCATTAATCTGATTTCACCTTATCAAAATAAAGAAGCAGCTCGATTTACTCTTCGTGTATCCGGTAGCCCTGATGCTGCTTCTTGGGGTCTCGCTGGTGTAGGTATAGCATTGAGTCGTATGGCTGAACAATCTCTCCTAGACTGGATCCCAGTAGATAGTCGCTTGTGCGCTGTCCGACTGAACGGAACATTAAAGACTCGGAAAGATAGGGACACTCGCCGTCGCCTCTTCGTCATATGTGCGTACGCTCCCACTGACTGCAGTTCGGACGAGGTGAAAGATGAGTTTTATGGGAAGCTTTCAGACCTCCAAAAAGTTAGGCACTCTGATGTAGTAATAATGGCTGGTGTGTTCTCTCAAATTCTAACCTTCTGAACTCCTCATCATCTCTTCCTTTATCTATCTAAATTTATCTCACTAATAATAACAATAATAATAATAATAATTTTTTCGAGCCCTAATTTTCTCCGTTACTGCTTATACTTCTACTATCTCTACCACTATGTGATTTGAATTGACAATTGCGTCTCTGTGCTAATGCGGTATGGCAACCTGAACTGGTGTACTTCATACGAAGTTCTACATTGTCTGCAAATCCTTTAGTTGTACACGTTCCTAAAAGATCTCAATCTTCAAAATAACACCTAACAAAAATTGAATATATTTATCTATGGTCTGAGACAAAGTTTTTTAAACTATCCTCCTAAACTAATCAATTTAACAAATATTCATAACAGAACTTTAGCCGATTCGGCTGAAAATATACACAGTCAATAACAAAACAATTTTTTTGAATCCTTGACACGATGTCAACGTAAATAGTAAGTATCAACAGCTCAGTTTTCTCAGATGGAGATGATTAACAAGCCTGTTACCGAATGGCTTCTCCCCACTCTTAATCATACCAAGACATGTGGAAGCCGGCAAGTTGTAAGTTCTTTCTCAGCTAGTCTGCCAGTCGGTTGTAACGTAGATTTTGGTGCGCACGAACATCGGTTCAAGTTGCCACACCAAATTAGCACAAAGAGATGAAGTTGGCAAGTCGAATCCCATAGTAGTAGAAACATTAACAGTACTGGTAGTAATAAAAAACATTAGGGATCAAAATTAAGATTCTGTAAAATGCGAACCATTGAAATAAATAAATAAACTATGAGGAATTCAGAAGTTTGAAATTTCGGGTAGAAAAAAGATTGCATGCACCTGTGCCATTCCAAATAGTTTTTAATCATATCTTTCTAAGTCTGCAACCGCTGATTTTGACTATCACACGAACTAGGGAGTCGATATCGATATCTTAGTCCAGTTATCAACGACTTCATTAACTGGTCCCATTGCGCCCATGGTTTTCTACCAGCCTACTGCTACATCAGACAACGCTATCGAGGAGGGCGGTGCTCGGGGCTTGTGTTACGTATGCAGATTCATTACTTCATCAATCAGTCTATCATCCTTCACAACAACTAGTTAAATAGAATTCATCACTATACACAAACTTTCTTAGTTATGAGTAAGCCTTACGAATCCTTCAACACTGCGATGTGCTTGAGATGATTGTCACCATCATACGGAATTCTTACGACGAACTACACTGCGATTCTAAGTGAAGACTGGTGTTGGCCAAGATTGCTTACTGTCAAATTTTCTCCTTCTGATAGTTGACTGGATTATATAGGCGTCAGCATCTAAGGAAAAATACGCAATGCAGTGGACAGCTCGGATGTAGCTACACGATCGGAACTTTAAATGTGACTTAGCCCTTCTATCCCACACATGGCAACAAATGCAGAAGACGACCAGTTTAGCATCAGCATCTGCAGCAGTAGGTCTCAACATATACAAGGGAAAAAGCAAGATCCTTAGATACAACACAACATGTATCAATGAAATCACATTTCATGCAGAAGCTTTGGAAGACGTAGAAACGTTTTCATACCTGGTTGGCATCATTGATAAACTAGGGGAATGTGATGCAGATATGAATACACGAGTTCCCAAAACAAGGGTAGCATTCCCACTGTTGAAGAACATTTAGGACTCAAAATGACACATCGCGTGAATCATCTAACTGCATCACAAGACATTCCCTAGCTTATAATCCTAAAGCCAAATGTAAGAGAGTCAAATGAGCGAACACAATACATCAGAAATCGTATGCAAACATCAAAAGAATAAATGGTGCTTTCCAAGAACTGATAAAGAGGGTTAACATAACAGTATTTTGCGGAATGTTGGTTGGCAGTTTATACTACATGAGCAGTAACAGGAAGATTCGATGCTGTCTAACTTTTTGAGGTATTCACCTTGCGTCCACTAAGTCCTAAGTTCGAGCACCGCTTCATCTACTTTAGTTTGGTCATCTTGATAGTATAAGTAACCAACTTAGTTAGAGTTTGGCCCATATTTTAGTGGCTGGAGAACAAAATCAGGAACCTACACAATAAAAACCCAAAAAGCTCCTACTTTTAAATACTGGGCTTTATTTACCGTAATTATCATAACCGAATATTACCTTTCGGCTTTAAGTATGTATGTATGTTTAATTCATGGCCTAGTTAATTATCCCATTCAATATTGTTAAAATTTAATTGTTTACGTTGATTACCAAAATCATTTGGCGAATGGATCAGACAGACAGAGAGATACAACACAAACTTCGTACGTACGTACATCAGTTCAGGTTGCCATACCGCATTAGCACAGAGACGCAATTGTCAATTCAAATCACATAGTGGTAGAGATAGTAGAAGTATAAGCAGTAACGGAGAAAATTAGGGCTCGAAAAATTATTATTATTATTATTATTGTTATTATTAGTGAGATAAATTTAGATAGAGAAAGGCAGAGATGATAAGTTCAGAAGGTTAGAATTCGAGAGAACACAAAGAGTAGATGCACTTGCGCGATTGCAAACGATTCTGAGCCATGTCGTTCAAGGTCTATAACCATTGGTGACTTTCGTCTCGCGGACCCCAACCAGGTAGCGTGAACCTACCAACACAACTCAGTCCACTTGTCAGTGAATTCATGGATTTCTGCCATGTTTTGGTTTGGTCGTCTCTAGCCTTCTTCCAACCTACTCCTACATCACAAAACATAGCTCGTCGAGGCAGTTGGGCATTCGTAACACATGTCCCAACCCCTTCAACTGATGGAGTTTCACTACTTCATCAATTGATTTGCCATCCCTACCTAGAACTCGTTTCCTAACGACAGCATTGCTTACTCGGATGTGCCAGCAGGATATAGGAGCGATGCTTCGAAGACATCCACAACCGAATACTAATAACCTACGTATGTCTTCTTCCCTTATTGATCATGTTTCACAGCCATAAAGTAGGACAGAGCGAACTGCTGCGCAGTACACTCGTCCTTTGGTTAGCAAACGGATATCTCGCCTACGCCATAAGTGACGCAAGTTGGCAAAAGCCAGTTGAGCTTTCTGTATCCCTGCTGATATTTCGTCATGAATATTTTCATATTCGTGTTTTTCGTCCTTATTTGAAAATTTATTGCACACTTCTGCCCTCTCTTTTTGTTTATAGTTATTTACAAATACCTGCTGTATGCCTCGGTGTAAAAAGAAAGAACTTGTACCCTTTTCTTGTGATAGATGCAAATTAAATTTCTGCGTATCACATCGTAATGAATTAGATCATAATTGTAAAGGATTTCAACAAAATTTGAATAACTCTAGGAAGTTGTCAGCTTCTGGTGCCGCAGCTCTCTACAGAGCTATTTTTAGTGATTTCAATACAAATTCAACTTCGAAGGTGAATTTTCTTTTTCTTTAACATGTGTGTATTGTATAGGTTGGAAAAGATGATCTTTTTTTTCATTTCACATTGAGAAAGTTTCTTTTTTTTTATTCCCGAAACCATATTTTAATCGATCAACTAATGGTTAACTTGAAGTATATGATAAGAAACTAATTTTTTCACACTATACCCCGTACATTGTGTTGTGACAACTTGTACTGTAAATATATTTGACTAAAATCTTACTTATCTTAAGTACACAAATCCTAGTGGACTCGACTTTCCCTCCAAAACTAAAGTGACCATACTAGGAAAAAAATTAGGAAGAGTCAATGAATCAATGAACAATAGTAGGACGTAATAAGAAATGCAGCGCAGTTAAAAATAAAACCAAGAAAATCCTTACACTGAGGGGAGTTGTTGTTACTTGTGTGAAAACTAACAGGAAACTTCTAGGGAATCCTCACTGGTATTTATTTTTAAGTTATGTTCGATAACGTCGCGATCCACTGAAATGTACAATTTCTTGGACCCCAGTTCGTCAATTCATGATTGACCAATAAATTTCCTTTCTATACAGCTATCATTCATGTTACAGCACCATATCATTAACTAACTCTTTTCTCACCCAATCCCAGCGCTGATTAACAATGTGTGATATTGAAGCCACCAGGATAAAATTTGTAACGCGTAACCGAGTGACAGTATTGTAACATCGAATAAAGCGTCGTAACCATGTTCGAACACAGGCATTATCAGTATAATGTTGCACCAGATATAACCGATAAGAAACAACCGTCAACTATCGTCGTCTCGGAAAACCAGGCTTCATAAGTATCGGGCAGAAGTGTTGTCAATGACTTGTCGTAAGTCGAACGTTTTACGACCAAACTCACATTATAACAACTCCAAAGATGAACTAGATTGGCAATAACTGCTCTGACTTTCAGTATGCATAGAACAATCTCGTCAATCCATTCGCCACCGTCACTCATACTTCTATACAGATGTATCACTGTGTAGGAGCGTATATTGAATTACTGAAATCCTTTGATTTAATAGAGCATCGAAAACTAATGGTATAATCATTTAACTCAATTACTTTAATTTATCTGTAAGTTATCGACCGAAGTGCTTCCATATTTATGGTGTAACAAATATTTAATCTCTTGATGATATCTTGCCAAGGCCTAGTTTGCTATTTTAAGTGAATATAATCTATCATTAGTTGCGATAGAGTGTGAATAAATGGATGAAGATGTAATCAAAGAAACAACATCGAGATAATAATTCAATATTTCCACCCTTATCCTAGAAAAAATAAAATTAAATTAATGACAAAACTATTCATTTTATGATATTAAGTTGCCAAATAGTATGATTCCTGGATTGTTAAATCTGAATATTCCAGCTGGCCTGTGAAAAGCTAGCCAGTGTTCTCTCTTAAATCAATTGTTTTGTAGCGTTGATTGGTCTCAGTGCATGTATAAATCATCAATCAATTTCTATTAAATTCACACAGTTCGAATTTCGATTGTTTTTCGCTTCACATTATTCTATTTTTGATAATTTGTAGAACGTATCATCAACACATACAACTCATTCATTGTCATCGCCTCCTGCTGCTTCACCGTCATTGTATCGTGTAAGTTCTCGTGAAATTCAAGAAGAAGAAGATTTACAACTAGCTTTAGCATTGTCTGAATCACTTAACAATCCAACGTCTCATCCACAACCACCTGGAAGAACACATCCTAATACCGTTTCAAAATCATCGTGTAACATTTCTTAGTTTAATTATCCTTCTAGTGTAAATAGTAAACTTATTCCAAACCTCAGGTTTTATGTATGTTCATGTACGATTTCTTTGGAATATGAGATTATATTTATGTTTTTCTTTTCTGGTTATATTTAGAAAATGAACACTTATTGTGATTGTACGGCTTACTTTTTTTTATCAAACTAATTTTTTTTTTGAGATGATGTAACTTGCTATTTCAGTTTATTTTAATCAGAGTTCAATGTTTTCTTTTCTTTACTGTCTATCTATATTGAGTGCGGGATTAGTGTATAAGTTTAAATATAATGAAACTCAATCCCTTCTCGAATAGAACATATGTTCTTATCTTTCCTAAATTATTTATTAAGTTGGTTAACAGAAATTAGGGCGAAATATGTAGGAGTTTATGGGTTTCGTGATAAGTTTTAGTCTTACAAGCTTATCATCTATTGTAGTTTTTTGTAAATAAGATGTCTCATTTCTTATCAATGGTAATATCTTTGAAATACAAATAGTTCTAAAAATTCCCGAAACCGTCCAGTCATAACATAGATCCATCTAGTCTGTAAGTAAATATTTTAACTAGGAAAATCGTTGAATGTAAACTCTCAATTTTCCTCTGATCTATCTTTTATAAATACAGAAACCTTATTGACAGTATAGTTCTTCGAAGTTGATTTTATCAAGGCTTGGTAAACAAAGATAGAAAGAAATTTACAAGCTATTTGTTGTAATAATAATTACTGTAATAACAACAATGCACATTGTAAGCAGACCATTTGTTTTGTGCCGAGATTTCAAGTTTTTATGTAAAAATGTTTCTGATACTTGATTTGTGATTTGGATAACTACAAATTCACTTCAATTGAAAAATGGGTATTTTAAGTGTTAGTAAAATGTCATGGATTATTTTAATAATACAGACGAAGCGTTAATAAGTTAGTATTGTAAAGAAAACGAATACTCTGTAACATACTACATGATCTAATAATATAAGAGAATCGTTGGCTTAGCTTTTATACACAAATAATATAAACTTGTAAGTTCTAACTGGGTGGTGGTGCTCATTACTGGACTTAAATTTCTCGGTTTCACTCATGTATCTCTGCGTAGGCATATACAACAAAGAGGCCCTATTATCAGTATGGAACAGTTGTTTAGTGCTTTTCATTTGCCAATGATTCCTCTTCTGATATCACGGCAAGATAGGGACTCATCAAGAGATGAATTCTTTAAAATCGAACAATTATTAAAATATCAAAGTCGAATTTCTTCGTTAGTCACAAAGATAATGCTCATTCTAACAGCCAGAACAACCATTAATTTAGACATATGGAAAGTTGGTGCGATGTAGAATACTGAGGGAGTTCACCATGTTGTGTCAGAAATGAAAAGATACAAGCTGATGGTACGTGGAATCAGTGAAACACGTTGGACGCAGGTTCGACAAAAAAGATTAGCTTCAGGAGAAATGCTGGTATACTCCATTCATGAAGTCTGAATATGACTTAGCCGTTCTATCCCACAAACAACAAAAAACGAAGGAGAAAACGACTAGTGTAGCATCAGCCTTTGCAGCATTAGGTCTCAACATATTCAAGGGAAAAAATAAGATCCTTAGATACAACACAACATGCATTAATCCAATCACACCTCATGCACAAGCATTGAAATATGTAGAAACAATTTCATACATAGGCTGCATCATCAATAAACAAGGCAGATCTGATGCCGATGTAGCGACATGAATTAGCGAATCAAGTGTAGCATTCTCACTGTTGAGGAACATCTGGAACTCAAAACAACTGTCAACCAACAACAAAATCACAACTTTCAATACGAACATCAACACAGTTGTATTGTATGGAGTAGAAACTTGGATAACCACGAAAAACATCATTCACAAGATTTACGTGTTTACGAATAGTTGTGTACCCACGATACTGCGGATCGATTGAACAGACACCACGAGCAGCAACAAACTTTGGCAGACTGCAAACCAGATTTAAGCTGGCGAAGAAATTAGTGAAAAGCACAAGAGGTGGGTAGACCACATGCAACTGCGTCACAAGGCAATGCGTGACTGGGAATCCTCAGGGCCGAAGGAAATATGGGAGACCGAAGAACATATTACGCCGAGAATTCGATGCAGACATCAAAAGAATGAACAGCAGTTGAGTAGAACTAGAAAGGATGGCTCAGGCAGAGTAGGTTGAAGAATGTTGGTTGATGGTCTATGTCTATTAGGGGTAACAGGCGCCAGTAAGTAATCGGGTAGCTGGTGATGATGTTTGGATTTAGTATTTTAATACTACAAATTAATCCTTCGAAAATGATGGAAAAGAAATCAGAAAGGTGGTTTATTGAGCTAACACTGAATTGAATCCTTCTCTAATTTCTCCTACTGAATTCCTATTGAATTTAGCAAATCTCAAATAAATAGTTCAGAACTCAAAATGTAGCTAAACATAAAATAGGAATATTTTGTTAAAGCTCTATTTTTACTAAAGACTCTTACCCATAAACTATTTACAGAAATTCAAAGAAGTCCATATAAGTTCCATGACATAATCGATATCAGCTGAAGCATACATGAATCTGCATTACATAACTTTGAGGTTTCACAAGAAACACGTTCCGCTTTGACCACTGGTTCGCCATTCACATGGTCGATATTTCTAACTTCATATATTGAATATATTTGTTCGTTATTCACTCAAACTAATTTATTTGCGCACAATTATTGGTTTCGAAATGAATATATAACTACTTGACAACACTTGACTAAGTGTATTTAAATTATTCTTCGTTTACGTTTTGTTCAAATGTTGATCTAGATAACTTACCAACTGTTTTTGTAAATAATTTCATACTACTGTGGAAGTAGTATGACAATGCATCCCTAAAACTTGTTGGCTGCTAAAGAAGTTTAATTTATCCTGTTACGACATGCTTCTTATTGGAATAAAACTGCTGAGTACTACCAGCTACTTTACAATGGTATTTGAGCTTGCGTCCATTTATAACTACAACCATTTTCAAATCTAACATCTTAAAATGTTCAAACTATATCTCCCCGTATGCCAGTTTGCCTACGAATATTACTATTTGTAGTTGTTTATGTTTGTTTACTCTGAATTGTATACAAGCCACTCTTTCAATATAAATCCATATCTCCTGTTTCTCCATGAACTTTTGGTAGTGAAATAGGATCTACGGATGAAAATCGGTTGTTCAAATTTCGTAATGAATATAGCTAACCTATTAACACTAACTGGACAGATTTCTTGAGAAGTAGCTGCACAAGTGTGGAACATTTTGCACACAAAATATTCTCTCACGTTATTAACATTATCACTGCCAGATTATGTGTATTTCGAAAATTTCCAAAATAAATGTTGAAAATGCCTGGGGAACTGCAATATTACTCATCAAATGTTAGAAAGCATTGTATTTGTGAAGTAGCTTCTAGTCAATACTACTCCTACCTTCTTGTATTTTCACTCAGCTGAGTGAGAATACACAAAAGAAATGTAATGTACTTTGCATCATTAAAACTGTATTAAATACTGTTGCTTTTCTTATGATGAGTACAGCTAAATTATCTTGTGTGAATGACTACGGCTTTAGCACTAGTAATAATACCTGTCCTGATTGGTTATTTCTCACAGCCTTCCGCTTACAAGAAAACAAAGGAGATCAGCTGATAAACTCTCGTAATCTCTTACTAAATAACCACACATAACAAGCCTACCAATATAAAGAAAATACAAATTATTCAATCATGCATGTAGGGTTACCAGTCATATTCAGGAAATAGAGCTTTTTTAGTTTATAGAATAATATGGAAGGTGAATATGAATATGACATCTCTAGTGCTTTACTCAATATAGTAAATATTACTCATATTGTAATATTTGTGTAGGATACAGTAATCTTCATAACTTCATTATAAAATATATATGTGGAATAAATTCGTAAGCACGTTACAATTCAATTTCATGTTAATGATTGTACTCTATCTGGAAATCCAGATGCATTGAGTTAATACTTGATGTTTTATCGAATCAACAATGAAGAGTAGATCGAAACTTTTTCTTCAAAACCTTAAATAAATTATCTTTTACATCTAATGATGTAACACAAAATTCAGAATTTGTAATTTATAGCATTTCAGACTATACCAGAAATTGTACATTTGTTCTCTGTGTAAATTACTTGAAATGTAGATTTTTGAAAATATGAAATATTATGTCAAAGTCTATACGTAGAACAAAATCACTACCATCGTTAGTATGTCAATTCAATGATCATTTCTCTGATATTGCCTTAAAAATGATTACACCAAACATTATATCTCACTTCACTAGTGGAACTATAAAGATGTAAACTTATTTGATTATTATTATTATTATTATTATTAGGCTTACTCACTAAACTGTCCTCCTTGTAACTATTTTATCTCCACATTGTTCCTGCTTAACCATAAACCATATTTTCATGATACTACTCACATCATCACTGTATGAATGTTATCAGAATAAACGATTCATTAAAAACAAAACCAATCTCACTTAATCTGCCGCAAACTAATCAAGTTCATGTATGACAACAGTCCTATAACAGTTATGTTATTCTTATCGTGAAATGGCTCTGTAGATGATCATAAGCACAGTGTAATAGCACTGGAATCGTTGTTTGCTACATTTTTTAGCCTCAAAAATGACTATCATATCTATTGGGAGAATATTTGATCCAAGGTATTGCTTCCCTTAATTAAAAGCTAAGTGACAAATGTATTTTGAAGGCAAATTATAACTTACATCTTATCAAATAAGTATATTTCTTTATTCCTCAGCTATATTTGTTACGTTCTTTTTCGAATAAATCTGATTACGATTATAGATCGGTATGCATTGAGCAATTATTTTCTGATTATGTATACTCATTTAAAAACAGAAATAAAACTAATTTGTCTGAGATTGAAATAGTGAGCAATGATAATTTTGAGATTTTTCAAATTTGGTCATAACTTGAAAAAATATTTAGACTTAAACAAAACCACACAATCGTCCATTATTTAGATCAATTAACGAAACATGTTACACTATAAATCACTTGTTTCATTTGTGAAAAAACGATAACGCTTCTTCATATTTCATTGCATTTAGTGTAGGTGTAATCTCTAACAGTAACAACAAACAGTTCATGAGAGCCAGTGAATGTTTTACGAGCTATAACACATTTAAAAAAATGCCTTTTCACGAAAAATGATGGCATATTGACCTAATTTCATACCCTAGTAACTGGTGCGACTGAGGCACATGTTGCGCAATCTTAGTCATTATAAAACTCGGATAGCGAAAAAGTCAACTAAAAGTAGTAGATCACTG